AATATCAACATTCCTATATAAAATAACAATGTTTAAAAAATAAATGCAACAAAAAATCCAAACCGGGTAAAATTGTCGACTGCTATTTTCCGCGCTGTTTCAGCCAGAGCAGGAAAATCATAAGCTTCAGCCAGCATTTGTACTCCGAGACAGTTTGTAATATCTAAGTGACGTTCCATGAATAAAATGCAAGCTTCAACGGCAAGAGGATAGTCAAGAAGATTCGCCGCCAAGAACACGTCCTGTACTGTTTGAGTTGAGACAGTCAGAGAGCCCGTGTATGCGAAGTCAATCAAGTGTTTTAAGGACCACGGAGAGATCTGTTTTATATAGACACGCGATGTTTTCTGCTCCGACAGTGGAATTCTAAACATAGCCTAGAAAGATTCACGAAGACAATAAGCAATATATGAAAATGGCGCAAAGTTCTTAATAGATCAGGAAATTAAAACTAGTAACAGCTGGAAAAATTGATAAAATGTTGGCAACGCTGTATCAATGAGTAAACGTACACTAAAGTTACACAAATTAAACTAGGGTGATTGGCAAAAATCCTGGCAAGGAGTATGTGGTTGACGCGGAATTAATACAAATATTATGGTTTTCTAATTGGAAAGCGATCCAAGACTACTTAAGGTGATTGCGGCAGCAGAAAGATGGCATTTAGGGGTAATCTGTTTGTTTTGCGGCAGGAAATGTGCTCAGGTCGCCGGCTTGATTAAAGGCGGGATCGAAGGTGAGATCGGGCGTTCCGGTAGAATACGACTCCATGGGAGCATAGGTAGAAAATATTATGCTTTATTATTAAATTTAATATATTATGGAATGGGAAAGTTGACTACAACCTCAATCTTTCATAAAACACCTGCCCAAAATAAAGCGATCAACTGACGAATATCAAGTACGTAAAGAACCTTACCAATGGAGATGCGAAGGAGCAAAGTTACCTTAATCGTAGCAAAAAGTATTCTAAGCTTAACATTAGAAGGATTATCAACAATATGTGGTGTTAACAAGGGAGGCCACTGATCCCCCTTATCTAAAAGTGGCGTTTAGAATGTGAATTTGAGGGCACGGCCTAGTCAAGTCAATCAACGGGGCATATAGCAGTTTAACCAATAAGCCAAACAGCAGTTTTCAGTAAAGTAGGACAGTATGTCTCTACTGCAAAAATACCTCGACTTTTGGGAAAAATAAGCTTCCAGTTGAAGAATGCACCATTCAATTTAGATACACAGAAAACTCAGAGAACGAAGCATTTGACCTAAGTAAATGCATTTGAAATTAAAACTACGTCTTCAAACGCATAAGAACTTCATAGAAGCAAAACATTGCATAAGGACAAAAATGAAGGCAATAATGCGATTCAACTTAAATCGATCCTTTTCCTCTGTGCATAATTAGGTTCGTCGTCGTAGGCCAGCATTTTATTGCAATAGAACGCGGACATAAGGCGACGAGTAATGACCAACAAAGTCAAATAACACGTCGAAACTTACATCGAAATAACGTGAACTCGCGGCAAGAATGACTTTATGACATGGAAATTCTTCTTCATCCACACACAAAATGATATCGGTATAGAGGCCTTCAAGACGACAGCGTTGGAGTCCCTCCAGAAGGTTGGAGACCTGCTCACTATTAACATTTTCAATCATCTTATGACGGCCTTTTATGTTTCAGATTTCTAACGCTAGTTTTAAGTGAATGGCTACAATACACTGCGGGGCACGGCAATACAAGCCCATCCGGTCGGTGAGCAGTAATCTGTTAGTTTATAAGCTTGCTGTAATTTCGCCTCAGTAAAAAAAGGGAATTAAATGGCAATAGAAGTTATAGCACTTTTCTCAAACTCATATTCTTTTTCAGCTTAAAAACATGCCAATCATTAACTTCATAACATCATTAAAACTT